AATGATAATCTACCTTAACCAAAATCAAAGTAGACTATCACTCACCCACACCAGATGGAAAACTCTACAGACTGTCGGTTCACACCCCATCACAAGCCAGCAAAACATCCACGAAACAAAGAAAGGTCTGTCACATATATCGTCACAATTATATATATATCGTCTATATACATATATATATATATATGTCAGTTTTTGTCCTTTTCTGGCAATCAAATAAAAAAAAAATGCTCAAGGACTCGCTGATTCTGTCTTCTTCCCACAGCCGTTCCTCTTGAGATCGCTTATAAGGTCACCTCCTTTGATTAGTGACCTAAAGGTCTCGCTCCTTCACTCTTCTTTCCACAGCCAGCCGTTCCTTTCGATCTATGATTAGTGATCTTCTATTAGTGATCTACGGTTGGCGATCTTCGATTCGTGATCTCATGGTTGGTGATGGAGGATGATTAGGGTATTATAGACTAGAGAAAGGTATTAGGAACGATCCGTTCCCATTTGTAATACCTTCGCACATGTTTTTCGATTCCCTTGCCGCCAACGAGACTCCCACATTCATTCCATGATGAACATATATTGCTACCTTCTTCCCCCGAATACAACGTACGGTCATTATAGCTCTGTATCTAGACTGAAAGATACCCCAATTACAGCTATAATGACCGTACGTTGTATTCGGGGGAAGAAGGTAGTCTGCCCTTCAGTGATTTTACTATTTGCAAGAAATTGGGGACCGCTCAATTTGAGGCCGTCAACGAAAACAACATCGCAACTCCCTGTAGACAGTGTAGAGTAGCCTACCGCTCTCTGCGCTGCGCCTCATCTCCACCTCCCTGCTCCCAGCTGCTTCTTCCACAACGGGGCCACTTCACTGCAAACTGGGGTTCTCCTAAGGTAGTCATGCGATTTCCTGAGCTACCGGTAGGGCTGTGCCGTCACTGTCGTGTCCACAGGACATCCAATCCAATTAAAGACATGATCCCTGGGTGCGAGTGGTGAGTGTAAGCTTGGGTGCTTGTGCGTCCGTACTATGTGATACAACGATTAAATTCACATCACACACACACACACACACACACACACACACACACACACACACAGACAGGCACACACACACAGAGACACACACAGACAGACACAGAGAGAGAGAGAGACAGACACACACACACAGAGACACACATAAACCACATGCGGTTAACCAGGGGGGGTGTTATCTTCGGCGAATTTTGCACGGAAACTGTCACATTGTGCTGATTTTTTTCTTTTTTTTCTTGTGTTTTTTTCTTTTTTTTGGGGGGGGCGGGGGGGGTGGTGATATATATGTGCTTTAGGGTAGGTCATGTGTCGAGATTTGACATAGTTGGATCGATCATGAAAAAGTTGGCATTTCGTTGAATTCGCTCTGGACGGTTCATTTTGACTCGGACAGTGTTCTTGTGTTAGGGTTTTATAGTGTGTGTTTTTTTTTGCGCTTCTCTTTGGCCCGTTTCCTTTTTTTATGTTTGCACTATGGGCCCATACCGTTTGTTTTTGAAGGTTTCGATGAATTTCGCACCGAAATTGCCGTCGAAAATGGTGCATATTTGCCCCCCCCCGTTAACCATCTCTCTCTCTCTCTCTCTCTCACACACACACACACACACACACACACACACACACACAGAGAGAGAATGGAATTTGGTGTGCCTGTAGGTTATACAACGGTGAAGTTCACATCACGTCCATCTTCTGTCGTAGAGAACAAAAATAGAAAAAAGGTCCTACTAGAATTTTCAGCGCCTACTTTACGTTCTTGATCATCTCGATGTGAAGTCCACGCTTACGGTCTGACTTACGTCGGTCTTTCGTTTTTCGTTTTTCTCTTTTCGTTTTTCTTTTTTCTTTTTTCTTTTTTCGTTTTTCTTTTTTCGTTTTTCTTTTTTCGTTTTTCATTTTTCGTTTATCATTTTTCGTTTATCATTTTTCGTTTATCATTTTTCGTTTATCATTTTTCGTTTATCATTTTTCGTTTTTCGTTTTTCGTTTTTCGTTTTTCGGCGTTCCTCTTCGAGACTGACAGACAGTCAGAAAAAAAAATGAAGAATCCTGAAAAGGTTGGCCCTCGTCCCATACCCAGACTCGTGCTACAACAGTAATTAATGAAATTCACGAGTTAAATGAACTTATCATGAATTAAATAGTAAATACAGAATTGCTCAAGGAAAACATCAGCCGTCTCGTCCACACCATTCCCTCCCACGCACGCTACAACTGCTGAAAAAAATTAATAATAATAAAAAAAATTGCTGGGCTTTCGCACACGAAGCGGCTCTGTGCCACAAGAACCTGCACTCCTCCGTCGCTCAGGGAAATACCCTCTTCCCTTCCCTCTCTCTCTCTCTCTCTCTCTCTCTCTCTCTCTCTCTCTAACAATCTATCAATCTACACCGTCTTCCGCCGAACATAATGCATCCTGAAAAGGAGAATGTATACAACCTATCCTGCCGGTTCAGTACACGCATAATCAGGGTGCGTTGTGTTCGTGGGCAGACGGTAGTACTCCTAACGACTTCCGTGCGCGACAATAGCGTCTCTTGCACAGAGAGCTGAGTTGTGCGACATGAACCTGCACTCCTACGTAAGACGGTAGAACTCCTCACGACTTCCGTGCGCGAAAATGTGCGGCTCTTCCACAGAGAGTGTGCGGCTCTTGCACAGAGAGCTGCGCTGTGCGACATGAAGCTGCACTCCTACGTAAGACGGTAGTACTCCTAACGACTTCCGTGCGCTGCAATTAGCGTCTCTTGCACACAGAGCTGCGCTGTGCGACAGGAACCTGCACTCCTACGTATCGTGCGACATGGTCCCTTGCAGGCAGAATCTGCGCCTCCGGCGCGGCCATGATGTCGAAGTCCGACACGGATCGAACGTACGCGTCGTATTCGTCCAACACCTCTACTCCCAGGCGATTGCCTCTGCGCACCTGCTCCTCACGATGTCTAGCCATCACCTTCCTGTACGCGGCGAACAGACCTCTAATGACCTCTTGAGGGTAGCGCCCGACCCTGACGCCGTTCTTGCGCGTCTCCTTCACAGCGGCCTGAGCCGCTGGACCGAAGTAGTCGGCGTAGTTGACGGAGATAGCTTCGTCACAAGCGCGTTGAAGTGCGATTTCCAGCTCCGGTGTGTCTGCGATCTTGGCTGGAATCAGGACGTGCGCCGCTTCAGGCCCCTGCAAGCCAGGGTAGTACAGGTATCTACCCCCTGCTTCCCATATCTTAGCAGAAAGATCGACTCGCACTCCCAGCAGCTCCAATGCGTCGAGAGTACCGTTAGCAAGGGCCTGCTTGGCCTGAGGCAAAGGCACGAAGACAGGCTCGGCGCCCACTTCCTTCAAGATCTCCGCTTGCAGGGTGTTTAACGGGCCCCCCGTGTACCTCATCCTTAGCCCCCGAAGGTCGCTCAGCTTGGCTATGGGCTTCTTGTACCAGTCGCCCACTTGTGGTCCCACCAGGGTCCCCACGTACATCGCTCGGATGCCTAGCGGCTCGTACACTTGTCGCCAGAAGCGGCCGAAAGGTGTGTGACGAAGAAGGGAAGCGAACTGTGTCACCGAGAGCGTGAAAGGCAGGTTGTTGTCTAGGTACTGTGCCGTCTTGATGTCCACCCCGTTCTTGTCTGGGGCAAACATCCCATGTAACGCAAGCCCGAAAGCTCGCCCATCTCTGGCAGCTGCAAGCACATTGGCAGGGCTGACGCCGTACGTGATGTTGGACACGAACAGCTTGCCAGCGGACGCCTTGGCCACAGTCTCAGCGAAGGCTTCTGTCGTGTTGCGCAGCCCCGGAGTGTCGGCGAAGGCCACCAGCAGGGGCAGACCCACTTTGTCGCCACCATAGCTGGAAGAAGCAGCAGCTCCCCGCACGGGAGAAACCGCGGCCAGCAGAAGCAAGAGAGACGCTGGGAGAAGAAGACGTGCAGCTCCCATAGCTCTTGAGAATGGCAGCACGATTCTTCTTCCCCTCAGCTTATACCGTCCGTACGCAGCCAGATTGACAAACACACCCACAGAACTCGACAGGCCTGTTGCAGCAGACACGAGGGAGAGGATGAAAAGAGAACGCACGAGATGGGGCACTCAATACCAACAATGTGGTAGAGGTTTAATATCCAAGCGTAACCACATTGCCCTAATGCATGACACACTCATGCCACCTACCTTCTCCTTCTGCGCAACTCACAGTCTGCCTATCGCCTTTGGAGCTTGCTCCACGAACAACACGAAAGCAGACTGTGAATGAACAACATACTAGTAATAACGCGAGAGCGCCGAGACGCCCTCCAGGTCGATCGAGCCGGTCGCCTTTGGGCCTCGGTCCACCACCAGCCCCGTCATGTGGCCTTTTTTTTTTTTTTTTTTTTCCCAAAACAAACGACAACGTGAAAGATTCATTCCCGTTGAGAGAGAGAGAGAGAGAGAGAGAGAGAGAGAGAGAGGGCCTCAGAGAATCTGATGGGCCAAACTCGGCTTCAGACACTGCACCCGGCTCCCGCAAAGGAGAATAAACTTCCAGGTAGAACATGGGCAGATGCGCCCAAATGGGCAGATGCGCCCAAAAATAATCTTCTGCTTTTTTTTTTTTGGGAGATTGGTGAGGAGACATAGGGTCTCGTTAGACACTCCTAAAAATGCCTGTTTTTAGGATTGCGTAGTCTTTGCACACAGTCCTAAAACGAAATCGGAGATCGAAAATGTGAAAACGGCGTTAGGACGAGTCCTAAAAGATTTAGGATTCCCCAGGCAAAATCGTNTTTTTTTTTTTTTTTTTTTTCCCAAAACAAACGACAACGTGAAAGATTCATTCCCGGGTCCACCACCAGCCCCGTCATGTGGCCTTTTTTTTTTCTTTTTTTTTCCCAAAACAAACGACAACGTGAAAGATTCATTCCCGTTGAGAGAGAGAGAGAGAGAGAGAGAGAGAGAGAGAGAGGGCCTCAGAGAATCTGATGGGCCAAACTCGGCTTCAGACACTGCACCCGGCTCCCGCAAAGGAGAATAAACTTCCAGGTAGAACATGGGCAGATGCGCCCAAATGGGCAGATGCGCCCAAAAATAATCTTCTGCTTTTTTTTTTTTGGGAGATTGGTGAGGAGACATAGGGTCTCGTTAGACACTCCTAAAAATGCCTGTTTTTAGGATTGCGTAGTCTTTGCACACAGTCCTAAAACGAAATCGGAGATCGAAAATGTGAAAACGGCGTTAGGACGAGTCCTAAAAGATTTAGGATTCCCCAGGCAAAATCGTCCTAAATTTTCCAGTAGCCCCCGACCTACTGAAAATTTTAGGATTCCCGCATTTCATGGACTCGTTGCGTCGCGCGCATGGCACCGTCGACACTCGTTGGTGGTCCAGAAGCGGTCCGTCGAGTCGGTGGTCGGACATCGGAGGTTTTCTGCGGCTCGACGCGGGCAACGGCCACACACGGTAGCCGTTGACCGAGGGGGTGGAGCGCAGAGGGCCGAGCGTCGGCGGGTGGTTGCCCGTACTGGACCATTGGGTCGCTTGCAAGATGCGGAGTCGGACGTCGACGTGCGCAGGACGACAGACGGAGCCGCTTTGGGCAGCGCGCACCGCAACGGTCGAATTTCAAAAGGAAGGCGGGCGTGTTCGTCGTCTTCTGTGGTGGTTGTCCGCATATGAAGGTCGAGCGCCCCTGTCGCGGGCATGTCGGAACACACATCTGCAGTGGTCACGTGCGAGGGCGGCTGCAGAAGTGAATTTCATGGCTGACGTGCGGAGGAGATTGCCTCTGCTGGTACTCGTTGTCGTCGTCTTCCTGATTGTCGTCTTCCTCTACGTGTGTTTTTCGTGGCGGCCATGGAAACAACAACGCAAGAGGAGGGCTTCGACGAGACGGACGGCAGGCGAACGTCTAATGGCGGGCATGCAGGCACAACCGGCTGCTGCCGCAGGTCAGGGAGGAGTTCGATCTTCTGCGGCGGAGCCTCGAAGGCGGTACGACCCGTCCATGTACACCCATCTGGAGTCGTGGGACACGCCATTGCCCCCGTCGGACGAGGAGCCGGAGAAGGAAGAACTTTCGACGTTGCCTCTCGCTAGCGGCTCGACTCAGTTGTGGTCGCAGACGGTGTGAGCAGGCGGGTCGGCTCCCGACGGAGGGGGCGAGTTCACGTCATTGCTCCATCAAGGCTTGCGGGACGACGACGGCGGAGGAGTTGATATGAGGTTCGAGTTGTGTTCTGGCGGCGGAAAGGAGGCGAGTCGCACGTTCATCATCGACGGAGATCGTTCGGCACGTGGCATTGAGCATGGTGGAAGTCTGCATACGGAGCAATCCACACTTCGTCGCGCTGCACCCGTGACTTGCGCGGTCGGGCCATCGCCAGCGGGACAGCAGCATGGATTGACTGCTCCGTCCGTCGATCGATTGGGCGGTGCACGTTCGCTGATGCCTGCGTGCACAACACCGGTCGAATCCGGAGTGAGGGACGAGGGAACGTGCAGAGCGTCGGTACGTCCACGACCCACTGTGGAGAACATAACACGTGGAGTGTCGAACATGTGGGCACACAACGATGGAGGCGAAGACGACGTTGGCTTCGGTGACGACGCAGACGAAGGGATGAGGGAAGACGTGGAAGCGGGGGACGACGACGACAACGTTCCAATTCGGCCTTTGGGGAAGACGGCTGGGAGGGGGAAAGGACGCGGCAGAGGTGGTGTCCGTGGCCGATCCGTTGGCCGTGGAGGCAGAGGTGGCGTAAGTGACGACGCCGGGAAGTCTCCGACGTACTGGTCTGCAGAAGACCAAATGCTCCTGGTGCGATGCAAGCGGGAGCAAGATATGCACCTCCCCGGCTTGTCTCACAATTACGGGCGGATGAAGACGAAAGAGTGGAAGTGGGAGGACATGTCAAAGCGGATGGCGAATGCGGGGAGGCCGAAGGACGCTGACGACTGCATGAAGAAGTGGGACAATCTGTTCCTGAACTACAAGAAAATTCAGAGGTTTCAGAATGCCAGCGGGCGGCCAGAATGCCAGCGGATGGAGGGGTCGTTTTGCTGCGAGGGGGACGCGCGATGGGGTACCCGCGGGTGAAGGCGGGCCGTCTTGGTTTTGGTCCTTCCGGAGTGTATTCGCGCGCGTCGACCGAACGTGGAAGGGCCTTTTCGCGGCTTCGGGAGGTTGATAATGACAGGCCTGGACAGGCATGGCGGTAGCACGTGTCGCCGTTGTCGTTCCGTTTTCCCGCCAAGAGGACGCGACCTCGTGGATGGTCCTTCTGCTACTGTCATTTCACTGCTGCGCGTCCGGAGCCGCATACATGTCGTCCGCACGAGGGTGATTCCACAACGCTTCTCGTTGTGCCACGTGCGCACTTCCCGCCGCGCATATGCAGCGCCACAACGCTTCTCGTCGGGCGCGCTACAAGGTTCCCGCCGTGCATCTGCAGTGCCACAACGCTTCTCGCCGGGCCAGCTGCACACTTCCCGCCGCACATCTGCAGTGCCTTAACGCTTATCGCCGTCATCGCTTCCGCTCTTCTGGCAGTCAGGCTTCTCGCTGCGGAGCACTCCTGCCATCGCGAAGGACAGGTGTCGCCGGGGACATCATCCTTCCGTGGTGCGTTTGGGCGTCATTGTCATCCTGCAGCGGAGAACACATCTTCAACGTCGTCGGGATAGCCTGTCTGGCTAGGCTGGCAAGAGACGGGTGACATCTTTTTCGACGAAACAGCACACGTCAGCCGAGCGCTACACTGAGATCGCTTGTGGGGGTCCCCAACAAGCATGTCTGCGCGATTGAACGCCCGTGGCAAGAAGCGCGACGTCGCGCTTGACGAAACCCAAGCCCAGGGGAAAGGTTGTCGGCACGTCCCGAACGCGAAGAGGCTGCGTTTGGATGATGCGTCAGCGAGCGTGCCGCGTCGTGGTGCGCGAGGTTGGTCGCAGCCGGCGGAAGAGGACAACAACGATGATTTCATGACAGAGGACGATCAAGGCGAGGCGACGGCGTCTGCAGGACGGGAGAGTGCCAGGCAGCGTACTCCGGATCAGAGCGCTTCGAAAAGGATGTCAACCCCTCCGCCGGAGGCGCAGCAGCTGCGTGTCCGCGAAACTTGGAAAGAGAAGGGTGCTGTGGTGGACCTTGGCGGCGAAGACGACGAGTCTTTGGAGAGACGTCGCCTGCGCAGTGCGACACAAGCGACCACAGCGGCGGTGTCGACGACTCGCACTGCGGACGACGAAAGGCCGATCACAGGTGCACTGCCCTGCACGCCGTCTGAGCCGCGTCAGCGCAACGACGGTGGTGACGGTGCGTCTCGCCAACGAGGTGGTGGGGGGGGAGTCGTGGCAGACGCGCGTGCAGCAGGAGGGGAGGCGGCAGGTGGCGCGGGTGTGGCTGTTGCAGGTGTTGTCCCTCCCGTTCTGGTGGCGAGAGAGGAGGCTGCAGTTCAGGCGACGGTGAGAGAGGAGGGTCGTGGACATAACACGAACCAACGCGATTACAACATCGTCCACGAAACCAAAGAGCACTACGTCGCCATCGCCAGTGGGCTTCCGCCACCTCAACTTCCGCGGAGTGTTGTCGTCCCCAAATCCAGCACGAGGGTGGCGAGGATCGCAGACCAATCACAGCTCCAGCAGGCGATCTCCCGTGCGGCGGCGGTGGAGAATATAGCTCTGCGCATCTTGCACGGCTGGGTTTTCAAGTCCGGGAACCGCCCAAGGGGGTACAACCTTGCGTTCCAGTACTCGTTGGAGTCCGTAGCGACGGATATTGCGCGTGCAATGTGGTACGGCGAGGAGTGGCGCAATGTCGTCAGCGCGCTAATCTGCGCCCACACGATAGATCTTAACATGGACCTTCTACTGTGGTACGCCGGCGCGAATATCGAGGACAGACCTGAGGACGACGACATGGCTGCGTACCAGGAGTCCACCGTCATCAGCATCGCGCATTCGTTCCGTCATCGACGATCCGTCGTCCACGCCGCGAACGTCGTCATGGAGAGGCTTGGGAAAGCGAAAGTCACGCTAGGAGTGTACCCCGACTACATCCCTGATTGGGCACCATGCGGCATCCGATTTGCGCACGACGCGACCATCAAGGGGCCGGAGGATGCGAAGAGGCTGGATTGGTTGGGTTCGGGCCCCGCCGATGATGACATCAAAGGCGAAGGAAAAGACGACGCATAAGGCAGGCTGGTATGCGGGGGGAGAGCGGGGAGACAACGCTTCTAAGAACGAAGGCGCATGTACGCGTGGCGAGACGTGACGGGCTGTCGTATGATTGGAGTGTCGTGCGTGGCGCAACTGATTAGCATGTGGGCCGCCGGGATTCGCCAGAGTCCCCTGTCGTCATTGTGCACAGGTTTACTGAGGCGCCCGTGGCATAAGCACGGGTTGATTAAGTTCGATTGTGTCATTGTAGTTTCGGTGGTTAGCGTGTTGGCCGGAGGGATTCGGCTGAATCTTCGACGGTGGCGTAGGTGTTTAGTGTGCGGCCAGTAGCGCCAGCACGGAATGAATGGTTTGCACCTTTGTTTTTTGTTTTTTTTTTTGTTGTTTTTGTTTTATTTTTATTTATGCGTTCAGCGCACGTGGTTGTTTTATCAATGCATGGTGCTACTCGTTGTATCGGACGATTTAAAGCGCGTGGCGGTTGATTGTTGTTTGCCTTTTTGCGATGCGTGTGACAACTCTCACGACTCTGTCATATGTCGGTGTCATGAATGTGGTCATGTATTTTATGGGACACAGATGTC